GCACTCTGATCATTGCAGCCAAGGCTATCACTAACAGAGATATTACAAAGCAGGTTTTCCTGTTGGTAAGTATCAAGTCCAGCAGTGCCTTATTCCTGGTTGGCACATCTAACATTTGTGTGAGGAAGCAGTTGTTTATGCATTCCAGAAACTTGATAGATGACATGTGACTTTCTGTGTTGTTCTTCCAACAAAAGTCTGGGTAGTTGAAGTCACCCATAAGAACGAGGTTCTGTTGATCCAAAGCTTGCTTAAGTGGCCCAAAAGTTGAATATTGCTTCATTGGCCTTATCGTCTTGGCTTGGAGGTTGGTGGCTGATGCCTACTCTAAGATACCCTTTGGAGAGAACCCCTCTGATCTTGACCCAGAGGCATTCAATAGGGCTTCTACAATCACTGTAGCTTAATTCTATACATTCAAGATTCTCCTTAACAGAGAGCGTGACTCCACCTCCTCTTCTTTCCTGCCTGTCTTTATGAAGCAGCCTATAGCCATCCATTGCAATCCTCCAGTCACATGAGTTGTCCCACCATGTTTCAATTATTCCTATGATATCATAACTTTCTGACTGGGCATGGAGCTCCAGTTCCTCCTGTGTTCCCCAAGCTATGTGCATTTGTATACATACACTTGAGGTGGCTGCTCTTCTGCTTCTCACCTTGGGAGGCAAAGGAACATTTGTTGCTGCTCTGATTGGCCTGGTTTTTAAAGCCTGCCTCACCAGGTTGGTCAGCCTGCTGCCAATGATAGCCTTGCTTCTTCTAGACAGGTGGATCCCATCCCTCCCTAACAGCCTGTAATCATTGAAGAATGTCATATTGTCATAAAAGCCAGAACTCTCACGAAGGTGCCAGCCACAAAGCCAGAAGCTGATTTGCATTATACATCTATTTCTGGCTGCACCTGTTCTTCTAACTGGTAAAATGGAAGAAAAGATAACTTGAGCACCAATACTTTTCTCTTGCATCCCCAGGGCTTTGTAATCTTCCTTGATTCTGCCCAGGTTCTGGCTTGCAGTGTCATTTGTGCCTACATGAAAAAGTAGCAATGGATAGTAGTCTGTGGTCTTGACAAGTTGTGGCACCCTCTCGGCAATATCTTGGACCTTAGCTCCTGGAAGGCAGCACACCTCTCGTGACTCCCTGTCAGGCTGGAAGATAGGCGCCTCAGTGCCCCTTAACAAAGTCACCCGCTACGAGCACCCATCGTTTCATTTTGTGGTATCCAATCTGTGCTGCTGGTACAGTTTCTCCTTGCTGACCTTGCTCATAGGTGTCTACAGCTGTTAAATCTTCATATCTGTTTTGGGTTGTAATGCAACTGTTTGATTGTAATGGTTGGGTGGGGACTGAAGCAGAGTCCTTCTTTTGTGGGTCACCAGGGTCCGAGGTGCCTCATTCTCTGTGGTGTCTGCCACAGGAGCATGATTCTGAAACTGCTTACCTGTTTCCATCTCGGCCCCTTTTAACTGTTTCCTGCAATTCGGCCACTTGACGCAAAGTGTGCACATCTTTTGCAAGTACTTACCTTTTCTCCAGGAGAAGGGTATGGGCATTCATTTCATCCTACCACCTGTACTGGTCTCCTTCCTTACCAGTTCCATCTGGGTGGAAGTGTCAGACATCTCAGGGGCTTTCTCTGCAGGAACAATGGTTTAAACTCTAAGGCAAGTGCCCACCATTATGGCAGAGACATAGAGCACTTCCCTGGTCTGTGGACCTACAACAGGGTGCACAGCCCTTCTCAGGTGCCCTGCTGTGTATGCATGATCCTTGTTTGCACACCCTGGTTGCAGCTCTCCTGGTCATTTAAATCTCCCATGGTTGCTCCTGGGAATGCCCAACCCATGTCAGCCTCTCCCAGCTGCTGGCAGGGCTCTCCATTCTTCCTCAGGTTTCCCTGGCTCCAGGACTCCCCCTGCATGCTTTGATCAGCCACGTAAAAATATCGAGCTTTTTTTCACTTGCGTTCTCTCAAACTCTTAGTAATCACAAGTGTCTTTTGTATTCACCTGTCCCCCAGTGACTTCCTTCCTGATCCCCTTTCTGTAGATCGTCCTCTCTTTTCTTCACCTTCTCAAGTTATAGGGTAACTGTAAATTCCTGGAAGAAAAGGACAAAGAAAGGCTGTAATTACCAGCACAAGTACTTATGCAAGCCAGATAGCAACTACCTTTGATCACTAACAGCAGTGTGGCTGCTTTAAAGTGGAGGAGGAAAACTTCCTGTAACTACTAGTTGGAAGCATAATCTCTGTCCTGGTTTCGGCTGGTACAGAGTTAATTTTCTTCCTAGTAGTTGGTATAGTGCTGTGTTTTGGATTTAGTATGAGAAGAATGTTGATAACACACTGATGGTTTAGCTGTTTCTAAGTAGTGCTTAGACTAATCAAGGACTTTTCAGCTTCCCGGGCTCTGCCAGGTGCACAAGAAGCTGGGAGGGGGCACAGCCAGGGCAGCTAACCCAAACTGGCCAAAGGGGTATTCAGTACCATATGACGTCATTCTCAGGGGGAGCTGCCTGGGGGAGAGCACCCAAACTGGCCAAAGGGGTATTCAGTACCATATGACGTCATTCTCAGGGGGAGCTGCCTGGGGGAGAGCGATTGCTGCTCAGGATGGGCTGGGCATCAGTCAGCAGGTGGTGAGCAATTGCATTGTGCATCACTTGATTTGTATATTCTGTATATTCTAAAGATGATGAGGGGACTGGAACATCTCCCCTGTGAGGAAAGGCTGAGGGAGTTGGGCTTGTTTAGCCTGAAGAAGAGAAGAATGAGAGGGGAGATCATCAACACATACAAATATCTTAAGGGTGGATGTCACGAGGATGGAGCCAGACTCTTTTCAGTGGTGCCCAGTGACAGGACAAGGGGCAATGGGCACAAACTGAAGCATAAGAGGTTCAGTTGAATATGAGGAAGAACTTTCCTTTGAAGGTGAGAAAGCACTGGAACAGGCTTCCCAGGGGTGTTTGTTGAGTCTCCTTCTCTGGAGATATTCAAAACCCACCTGGACGATGTCCTGTGCAACCTGCTCTAGGTG